GGTTTCCCAACCGGTCGTTGTACCACAGCCGGCACCGCCTCCACCACCACCAGCCGAACCAGCGGCTCCCGCACCGGCCGATCTTGAGGCTGATCCGATCCTGCCTGTACCGTATGCCCAGTTTACGGTACAGGATCTTCTGGCACAGCCGGGTCGTGAGACCATGAACAAACTCGACGCGGATCGAGCCCCGGACACATTTTGGTACGTAATTTTGTTCCTACAATATTTTTAAATTAATTAATATTTATTCTTATATATTTGATATTAATTTACTTTTCTCTTTCTATTTGACTAGGTTTACGACCGATAATGCAGTCGATCGTAACGTTGCGGATATCATCAAGGGGTTTTTCGTACAACCCCATACCAGCTGGAAGAAGCTGGATCAGGCCACACTTGACACTTGGTTCAAGTGTTTTGCGGTAAGTAATTTAGAATTTCGTTTAATTTTAATTTTAAATTTTAACTTTTTACAATAATTACTAACTTCTTTTTTTTTCGTAGCAAAATTGACATTGGGAAACATCGCACACGGACGTGTGGAGACGGCCTTCAAGGAAAAGGTCAAATTCCGCCTCAACAACACCGTTTCCGACTGGAAACGGAAGTGGGAGGTTGACGGCGACAAGGCCAAGCCGGCGCCTATGGCCAATACCATCTGGCGGGGCCTTGTCCAGTACTGGTTGGATCCGCACAACCAGACTACGGCCGCCAAGTGTCGTTCCGGATCTAGGTAAGTAGTTAATTCCAATAATATTTACATTATTTGTTTTCTTATAATAGATTCTAATGAAAATATTTTTCAGGAATGCTACTGACGATGCGGGAAATCGGAAGAACGTTCCGCACACTTCCGGCCAGATTCCTTTTGCCGGAAGACGGCTTATGATGGTAAGTAAATTAAAATTACTAATTTTTTTGTTTTCAAATAATTAACCCTTATTTGTCGATACTAATTTTTTCATTTTGATTTTGTAGATCGAAGATAACGGAGGAGAACTTCCTCCGATGACAAAGGTTTTCGCCGAGACGCATAAGAAGCGGAACGGCGAATTCACAGATCCTCGGGCGGAGGAGATCTACAACGCCGCCTGTGCGGCGATCGAGGAGCGACAGACGCAGCTGACTCAGCAGGCGCGTCAAACGTCTCCCGGAGGTAGCTCGGTCCAATCGACCCCGGCGCTGACGGTGGCAGAGATAGACCAGATCTTCGAAGACGTAAATTTAATTACTATATTTAATTAATATAACTTTAGTTTTAAATTGAATTTCTAACCATAATGTTTTTAAATATTTGTAGGTTGCCCCAAAAAAAAAGGGGCGGGTATTAGGGATGGAGTCCATCCGTGATACCCCGAGAGCTACGGCAACTGGTCACGTCCGGGTCCCGGATCCGGTTATCCGCCAGGAGATCGATCAGATGCGGACCCGTTACGAGACGAGGATCAACCAGCTCTACGGTCTCTTCGAGATCATGGGAGCCGACAACCCGGTGCTCATGGCGCAGTTGGACAAGCTGCGAGCTGATGGGATTGTCGGATCGTCTGCCGCCGGGTCATCCACTAGGACGCAACCGCCGGTGCAGACGGACGAGGAGATGTTCCGATCTCTCGGAGTTGAGCCTCCTAGAGCCGGAGATCAGGCGCTGGCGGAAGCATCAAGCCGGAGATCAGGCGCTGGCGGAAGCATCAAACCGAAGACCCGGCAAGGAACACGTTCAGGACGATGGGGAGGAGGCCGATGACGGGATCGATGATATAGATTTAGGTTTAGATTTAGAGCTGTAAGGTTTTTATGTAAATTACAATTAATTTTAATTTGAAATTTTAATTTCAAATTTTAATAAATTTTAAATTGTAAATTATTTTTTTAATTTAAATTTTAATTCGAATTATTTGTTTTTTTAATTTTTAATTATATTAAATGTCGTATAATCATCGTAATATCTTTATTTAAAATCGTCGTACATTCGTCGTAAATATTACGACGAATTTACGACCACAATGTACGACGACAATTACGACGATTATACGTCCGTGTTTTACGACGACTTTACGACGAAATGATTAAATACTTTACGATTGATTTACGACGATTTATGCGTCGTACATTTTACGACGATCTTACGTCGACCATTAACGACCACTTAACGATGGTTTAGGCGAAGACCAAGTCACGCAATTCAATATAAAATCGTCGTAAACTGTACGACGCATTTAACATCGAGAGAAACGAAACCGTCGTATATTATACGACGATTTGTCTATTACGACGATGACTTTACGACGATTTTGAAATCGTCGGTAGTTCCTCGTAATAGAGCTATTACGACGAAATAACGATCATTTTAACCGTTGTAAAATGATGTTTTTCTTGTAGTGAAAGAAAGAACAAAAATATGATTTTTTATATAGATTTAAAATATATCGGTTATTATCAACTCTTAATTTAGTAAACAAAAAATATGAATCCTCGAAAAGGTGTCCAAGGCTTTATATAGTTATACCACCAAAAATTTAACTTAGCTAGGTTGAATTTACATTTTTTATTTAATTTTAATTGATCCCAAAAAAGAATTATTGCTTTTCTTGTAATTATGCTCAGACCACTTGGTTGTATTAATGAAGAGTTAAAATGATGCAGAAGTTGTATTCGAACCTACTGTGGAAACACGTTTTCATAAAGTAAACACCACCGGTCGGGCCTAAATATAGTAACCCAATAATACAAAATACTTTTTTTCGACATGATAAAAGAAAATTATTCCTTTCCTATATTTTTGTGTAACAAGCTCACCAAAATAAAGCTTTTAGCACAGAAAATGAGAAACTATGAAAATGGTCTAAAATTATATAAACCCTTAACCATAAAATCTAAAAATAATTATTTACTTCCTTCATTTAGAAAGATTATTTTTTTAAAAAAATTCCAATAATCCCCTAAAACAAAGAGATCATCTCAACTGAGGCAAATAAGTTTCTGTCTGTGAATTTAGTAGACATAATTAATGAGAAAAAACAAACAAGGACGCAAATGGAGAAGAAAAGAGAAAAGCAAAAGCTACTAACAAGTTTTGTTGCTACAAACCTTCATGAGATTTTCCTTCTAGAACCAACACATCAAAGTCACTCACTGTCCACTCTGCAGTTTTTTGTCAATTGCTAACATAGATTTCTGTACCAACATTGATCGACGTCCACATTCGCTTTGCTGGTATGGTTCCCGGGTCCTATCATCAAAGACAAGATTTAGTTTCAGGACAAATCCAAGTCTGAGACAATGATATTGAATATCTTACATTATCTGGTAGAAGTATAGACGACTTGAGAGCGCTCCAGCATCGAGCTCCTAAGTCCTTGAATCCCAAATCTAACCGTCTCTTCGCTTCTCGGGATATCCATGGACAGACTATTCTGAATGAGGCATAATTTGGAACAGTTCCTATGCTTGAGGATTGCTGTATAGATCACATATATCATATGGTTTCTCTAGATTATCAGGTACAACATACTCCTTGGTATTTTTTTGAGGTCGTCAATGAATTCGATAAAACCCAGCTCCCGCCTTATACATTCTTTTGCCATGAAACAGAGAAGAAAGATCTTGTCCCTGCTCCTTTTCTTAAGTCAGAATCAAGGTCATATCTTCCATTAAACACTCCAGCCAAATGCATTGTCCCTTTCTCATGAGCAAGAACTCTCGAATAGTTATGGTAAACAAGCAGCTGGTTCATGCAACCTTGACCAAAACACGGAAGTTTCTCCCGCTAACTATTTTACCGACTTTCCTCCCATCCTCAGGTGAGAGCGTAGAGTTCTTGTCAAAGTTCCCATTCTTAAGCATCATCATCCGCAAACAGATCAAGATCTTTATAAGATGTGAAACCAGGAACTGGAAACTTATCTTCAGCTGCTAACTTATTGTCTGTCATTTACGGATTTACCCAATGGAGCAATTTACTCTTGCTCCCATCATTATCAAGCCTCCGGTCCAGATAGTCTAAGAAGCAAAAACGATGATTAACACATTAGCAAAGAGCAACTCAGAGACAAATAAGCCAAGAAACAGAAACTTTAAAGAACATTTATATGCTAAAGCATTTTGAAACTTCTCTCCTACATGGTAACATGAACTATTATCAGCATTCATATACACAATCAAATGCAGAAAATTGCAAAATCAACAAATGCAGCTTAAAAATCCACAGAGTCTAAGAAGCAAACACGATGATCAATACATTAGCAGAAGGAAACTCACAGACAAACAAGCCCAAGAAACAAAAACTTTAAGGAACATTTATAAGATAAGTATTTTGAACGCCATGATTAACACATTAGCAGAGAGCAACTCAGTAGACAAATAAGCCAAGAAAAAGAGACTTCAAAGAACATTTATAGGCTAAAACATTTCGAAACTCCTCTCATACATGGTCACATGAACAATTTCAACATTCATTAACACAATCAAATGCAGAAGATTGCAAAATCAACAAATTCAGCATAAAAATCCAGACTTTTTTTGACTTAAGGTTTTAAAAATCCAGACTTTATCGACCCAACAATAATACCTGCAAGAGAGATCGGCGCAATCGGCAACTCAAAGGCTTCCCGTTGAAAGAGTGAAATCGCAGCCATTGTTGGAGGAGCTCACGAAGACGCGCGTGAAGATGAAGAATGGAATAGGCGCGTGGCGGTGGAGAATCCGCGCGTGATTCAGATTCTTAGCGGAAAAGGGTAGACGTCGCCATCTGCAAAATCTCATGATTGCGCTTTTTTTTGCTTTTGAAGCATTTTACTCGCCTGTCCGTATAAACAATTCTTATTACATCCCTATACTCTTCATAACTTACATATTGCCCCACAGATTTTAAACCGTTAAAAACAACCCTTTTTCCGGGCATGTATTCCAAAATAAACGTCCTTTTCAGAAAATTGTGATTGGATTCGTTTGTATTTGAATTGGGGACCCTCTGTTGTGAGTCTAGGAGCTGTCTCTATGACTATGGGTGAATAAACGATAACTGGGGACCATTGTGTTCTTCTTTTCAGATGAAGACGAAGCCGTTCTTTAGCTTTTAGCCGAAGAAGACTCAATGTCTTCTCTGTGGTCGAACATGGTCCTTTCTTCTCCAAATCTTTCCCATTTCGTCCACGATTTCTGGGTCCATGGCAAGTTTGCACCTTGGAGCTGCTTCGTTGATCAATGAATCTTGGGTCGTATTCGGGTCCTCCTTGAAATTACGGATTGGCTTCAGAAGTAAACGGTTTAGACGAGTTGCAGAGGTTAGGTCACCCATTTTCCTTTTGTCTTTGTTCGGACCCAGGTTGCTTATTTTAGTTAATTATTGTTCTGTGGCTGTTTTTGGTGTTTGTAGAGATGGATGTTTCGTGTTCAACAGATGTCAGTAAAGGATCAGATGACCAAACAGGAACTGGCTCGTTCTGCTAAAAGGTGATGACTTGGTTTTATCTCTGTGTGCAAATTGTGTTAAGAGAAAAAGTCTTGAAACTTCACCACTCATTAGTGAGTTTAGTCTCTTAATTGACACCGAATTGCTCGATTGAATTGTGTGTTGGATTTGACCCAGTTAAGATAATAATTGTGTGGTTCTGGTAAATTTCATCTACGCATTAGTGTAATTGCGTGAGAAAAATAGAAAATTTCATCTCCAGAAGAGGAAGTTTTGGCGTTTTGTTATAGAATTTGTCTCTCTAATGTTGCAGAAGCGAGTCCTTGAGATATATTCTGAAGCAATATGGATTATCAGTCGAAAACCCTGAAGAAAAGAGTAGACTTGATGACCTTAATTGTGAAGAGAAGCGCGACGCTGTTCCTTCTTCTGTGATAGATGACTCTAAAATGGTATTTAGTGGATGTTATAGGTTGTTTTCTTGTTGAATGGTTTCATCTGAATTGGGGAGATCCTGACTTTCATTAGTCTTTGGAAAATTTGATGAGTATTGACAGAAAACAACTGAGGAGTTACCTGATTTACGCCGGGAAGAGAAATACCTTGAAACCGTGAGCACTGTAGACAGTCTTTCAGGGCACAAACACCATAAATTTCCTCATGTAAGAACATTTCTCTACTACCATTACCCCTTTGAGCTATTAGGAGTGCAAAAGGTTTGAGTTTTGCTTTCATATTCATGCTCTTGTCTGGTTGGATTCATTCGAGTAGATTCGGTTTCCTTACTGTGTTTGGATCCATGTGTTTAACTGAGGTTTCAGTGGTGTTAGTCTAAAGTCTAAACTCCTTCATTAGATTCTTTTTGGGTCTTGATTCAGCTTAGCATCGCATACACTTAAGTCTTGAGTGTTTTTCCCAGCCTGTAATTATAGAAATACCGTGAAACCGTGACTGTGAACACTGTAGGCAATCTTTCAGGGCACCAACATAATAATTGCCTTATGTAAGAACATTTTCTCTACTACCATTACCCTTTAGAGATATTAGGAGTGCAAAAGGTTTGAGTTTTGCTTTCATATTCACGCTCTTGTCTTGTTGGATTCATTTGAGTAGATTTTGTTTCCTTACTGTCTTTGGATCCATGCATTTAACTGAGGCTTCAGTGGTTTTAGTCTAAAGTATTTCACTAGATTCTTTTTGGATCTTGATTCTTAAGTGTGTTTCATGTCTCTCTTCAGTTAAACACAGGTGCTATGTTCACTTCTCTGCTTCCTGTTCTCGGGTTCTGCATCGTATGCATCATTGGGACACTACACACGATAATCTCCAGAAAAACATCACGAGGTCAGTATAATGGCTCCAAAAGAACAAGGTGGAGAACAGCATTGAGTGATAGGGACGAGCCGCTTGCTTCTGATGAACATGATTCGTCGCCGGAATACAGAGTCAGTTAGAAACATAATTTCTGAGTTTCATTCTGAAGATTTTTCTTTGATTGTTAAAGAAGCTAAATGCATATGCAGGTCGATTCATCTAATCAGGAAGCTACAGATCATGAAGTGAATGAAGCATATAGCAGAGTAGAGCTTGAGTACAAGATATTTCTGTTGGAATGTGGAGTTAGTGAATCTTGCAAGTAGTTCTTGACTAATGATCATGGCTGCTTCCGAGGCTGTAAGAACAATGCATGTATTTACCAGATAAGACTTTTGTTTTGTAATTGTGAATATAAAGGTTTAATATGATCGATTTCATTTGGATTACATCAATTTGAATGGAGCAATTTGGGATTTTTAGGTAAAAGCTTGATTGATGTTGAAATGGATATAAAGTTGCAATTAACGTAACAGAGAGTTTCTAAATGCAAAGGGGAAAAACAATGTTGACTAATCAAACTATGATTAACGAAACAAACCTCAAAAGAAACTTCCTAATTCCTAAATATTCACTAATTCACCCTGGTGAAAAAAAAAAGGAAATACTGAAATAGGGGCTAAGTCGAAATTATACTAATCACATTGATTAAACCCTAAGCATTATGTATTACCGTTAGAGTATGCATTGTTCTTTGTCACACTTTCGTTCATTCCAATTTTGTTCTCTCTCTCTGATTTCCTTTTTTCTCTCACTAAGTTCTTGCTGAGTTTTTGGTTCGATAATGTATTACAGCGATCATAAAGCCGTTGCAGAGAAGGAGATTACTTCTCGTAATTTCTTATGTTTGGTTGATGCCGCCGTTATGTTGTACGAAGAAGAACTCCGCCGTACAGAAAAATCGAAATGCCACACGAAGAAGAAGACGAAGACTCTCTCTGCAAAAGAAGAAGAAGAAGAAGAACGCGACAAGAGAATCTTCCGTCTTTTCCCGAGAAAAACAAGAACTTCGGTGAAGAAATTCGCTACCAGAGGAAACCCACAAGAGAATCTTAATGGGTCTTCTTCTTCTTCATCGTTTCTTCTCGACCTTAACACGATCCCGGCTGATTTGGAGACGAGAAACCCACAAAACCCTTGTTCTTCTTCTTCATCGTTCCTTCTCAACCTTAACACGAACGCGGCTGATTCCGAGACCCAAAACCCACAAAACCCTAATGGAGCTTCGTCTTCTTCTTCATCGTTTCTCGGAAATTACAATATCGCGGCTGAGCCCAAGAATACTGAGATGAGAAACCCACGAAACCCTAATTCCCAATCGTCTCTGTCTTCTTGCCAAACAGAGAACAAAAGCCGCAAGAGACGTGTCGCACAAGATATTCAGAGTAAACCCAAGAAAGCAAAGGTTGCTACTTTTTCATGGAAAGGGAGAGATACTCCTGAGTGGCTAACATTGTTGATGAAAGAAGAGAACGAATCTGTAGTTAAGTGGGGAGAGAGAACCGATTTGAGGCTAATCTTTGAGAAGACTCTGTTCAAAACAGACGTGAACCCTGGCGAGAGCCGTCTCTCCATGCCTTCCAACGAGCTGATTCAAAAAGATTTCTTGACCGCTGTCGAGTTTAGAGTCATAGAAGAAGACATCAATAACGATAAGAAGATGGGAATTGGAGCGATTCTGGTGGATCAACGGGATGTAAAGTGGGGTGTGATGTTAAAAAGGTGGGAGATGGGTAAAAGAAGCTGGAATTACGCTTTGACTTGTGGGTGGAACGAGATAGTCAAGGCTAATGGATTGAAACAAGGAGACGACATCAGTATTTGGTCATTCAGGTGGGGTGGTCTCCTCTGTTTTGCTCTTGTTACTCCTCCTCCTTCCATGGCACAGAGTAGCTCTTCCCTTGCTGACTAGTTGATTAGTTTGATATATCTGCACAGCGATCTAATTGGTGATTCTGGAGGTTTTTTGGTTTAGTAACAAAATTAGGGTTTTAGTAGGATTGTGATCTGCTCTCTGTCTCTGACAAGTTTCTTGTTTGACCTATTCGCACAGCCATCTAATTTCAGCCCATGCTAGAGGATTTTTGGTCTTGTGACAGAATTTGGGTTTTACGTAGGATTGTGATATCTCTCCTCTGTTATTAGTAACTTGGCTCTTTTGTTGTAATGAAGTTTCTTGTCTCTCTTGAGACTATAAATTGTTTTTGTTCTAGTAACTACTTGGAATTGTAACTAACAGACATTGTGAACTTACAATGGGTTTCCTCCTCTATTATATGTAACATGTTCTTTCTGTTGTTTCTGAGCTTTACTTATATCGAATAATTAAAGTTGACATTTTGACATGATTGGCTACAAGTTGCAGAGGCTAAAAGCGATGATAACCGTTTGATATCTTGATTCAACTTAGAATTGTATACTTTTGGTGTGTTTTCCAGCCTGTAATCATTTCTCTCTACACAAGCTCTGTTCACTTCTCTGCTTCATGTGCTTGGTTTTTGCTTCGTACGCATTATTGGGATGTTACACAAGATAATCTACAGAAAAAAACATCATCACCATGGCTAACAAGGTGGAGAACCGCATTGGAACGAATCGTTTAGGTCTGATGAACATGATTCGTTGCCAGAATACAGAGTCAGTTACATACATAAGAGTATATTCCGAATCAAGAAGCTACAGATGAAGTGAATGAAGCATATCGCAGAGTGGAGTTTGAGTACAAGACACTTCTGTTGTAATGTGAAGTTAGTGAATCTTAGTTTCTGGTCTCATGTATTAGACACAACTGTAATATTGACACTGTTGATGAAACAGACACAATGATAAGCACTTTATTTAGTGACCATATTTCAAAAATATCAATTTTGTTTTTACTTATCTATATTTCGATTAAATATAAGAAAGTGAAAAAATGTTTATTGATTTTTCTTATATTGTTTAACAAATGCAAACAAATAAAAGCTTCAAGGAAAAAAATCTATAGTAGATAAAACATAGAGAGAATACAATATAAAATTAAAGAGAAATAGTGGAAAACAATGGAAAACTTATATGAAAGAGAGATAAATATAATTGATTTAAATAATATGCATTAAACAAGAAGAAAATTTTGGAGAAATAAAAATGACAAAAACAAAAAACAAATGGGTACGAATTAGAAAGCCAACTCAGCATCACTGGGTGCAACAGTACAAAATTTCCTGATTATCTAACAAAATCTGTAATTTCCTTTGTAATAAAATTTTGTTGTTAATTTTAGTGGGGGCATGTTGTAATAAAATTTTGTTGTTAATTTTAGTGGGGGCATCTGTACCCTCTCTCCATTCACTAGATTTGCCCCTTGGGGGACCTTATCTTGAATTGGCATGAATGTTAACATAAATCACACGATGCAATCTATATATGAACATGAAATGTATCTACGTAAAAATAAACCCTTGATTTGAGGTCATTCATAGATCAAAATGTAAGGTGGTTATCTAAGCTCCGGTTTGATAGATCTAATGGAGTTAACATCAAACGTGAAGCAAATAAAAGACGATGTATTGAAGGAGATACACACTTAATGCCCAGAGCCGTGCCCAGAGTTATTGAGACCCTAGGTGATAGTAAAAATATCTCAATTCTTAAATTATGCTTATATCTATTTTATATTTGAGAAAATAAATAGTAAAAAAAATTTTGATTTTGTTTGTAAATGTAAAAAGAAGAAAAACAAACATACATTATCTCCGGTTAAAAAAAAAAGTAAAGAGACGAATGTGAAAACTGAAAACATTGATAAGGCGAATTGTGTATATTAACCTAATTTCCTTTTCTAATGTTTATTACTGTTTCTGAAAATTTTCATTAACTATTTTGATTAAAAATGGTTTTAAGATTCTAAAATATTGAATGTAATAAAAATGAACCCTTAATATTTTATAAAAACATGGGCTCGTAAGCCAATGCTTCATTTTACTACATATAGGTACGGACCTGTTAATGCCAACACAGAGTATCTCCGAGGCTACCTCCATGGAAGCTCTGATAAAGAGTTATTCAAGAAGAACGTACCAATTGTGAGCTACGATGATGTTAGGCCTTATATCGAACGCATCGCAAATGGAGAACCTTCAGATGTCATCTCAGGAGAACCCAGTACTACTTTTCTAATGAGGTATACTTTAATCAATTATAGAAAGCAAATTTATCATATGATAGATGGTTCAACTAGTTATATTATTTATAAAAACTTAAATGTCATGTGCTTGTGACATCGTTGGTGTGTGTAGCTCTGGAACCTCTGGAGGGAAACAAAAGATCTTCCCCGTTAACAACAACTTCTTTGAGGACATGGCGTTCATGTTTGCTCTAGGCTCAGTCATTATATCAAAGTAACTCTTTAAATATATAAATAAATAGATATATATTTCCTTCTTTAACTTTAGCTGTAACTTTGAACGCAAGGATCCATCCCTTTGATTCTGATATGTAGGCATATCAAGGGTGTCCAAAAAGGAAAGGCGCTAACGTTTTTGTTCACCAGAGAGCCATCTACTACCCCCACTGGCTTGCCAGTTTCTACCGGAACTACGAGCTTCTTATTTAGTGAATTCTTTAAGAACCGGCCTTCAAATGTTTTTACAAGCCCTGACGAAGTGACCTTGTGTCCAGATAATAAGCAGGCTATGTACTGCCATCTTCTTTGTGGTCTTGTTCAGAGAGATGAAGTTGTAAGTGTTGCTGCTACCTTTGCTTCTTCTTTAGTTGGAGCAATCACTTTTCTTGAGAATTACTGGGAAGAATTATGTAGAAATATCCGGTCTGGCCATGTTAGCGAGTGGATCACCGACCTTAGTTGCCGAGACGCTGTAACCAACATCCTAGGAGGACGTAATTCTGAATTGGCAGATCGTATTGAAGAAGAATTCCAAAAGAAATCTTGGGAAGGTATAATCACACGTCTTTGGCCTAAAGCAAAATTCATTCAAAGCGTTGTTACAGGACAAAATGCTCAATACATTCCGATGTTAGAGTTTTACTCCAACAAAGTGCCTTTGATCTCCCCGATCTACGCGTCTTCTGAAACAATGTTTGGGGTGAATGTGAATCCTTTATGCAAACCACAAGATGTATCCTACACTTTTGTGCCCACCATGTCCTACTTTGAGTTCCTACTTGCTGATGAAGGAAACAAAGGTGAAATTGCTGATCTTGCAAATGTCAAGATTGGGTCCTACTATGAGCCCTTGATCACAAATTATTTCGGTGAGTTATGCATGAGTTATATATGTATGATATCCATATATATATAGTGTATAATTTTTTCTCAATTAAATAATAAAGAATGAACTTTTCTCTTTGATTGTTGTTATTAGGTTTACACAGATATAGAATGGGAGATATTCTACAAGTGTCAGGATTCCACAACAGTGCACCTCAATTTAGGTTCATACGCAGGAAAAATATGGTTCTAAGCATTAACTTGGAAGCCACAACAGAAGAAGACATTTTTGAAAGCGTTGAATCATGCAACACTCATTCTTAAATATTCAGATCTAATATTGATGGGATTCACATCTTATGCTGATATCGCCACTCTTCCTGGTCACTACGTTTTTTATTGGGAACTCAAAGCCAAAAACATTAATGACATTGTTAAACTTGATAACAAGGTAATGGTTAAATGTTGTTGTGTAATCGAGGAATCATTAAATGATCTTTATCGAGAAATAAGAAGTAAAGATGGGTCTATTGGAGCTCTAGAGATAAGGGTAGTGCAACAAGGAACATTCAATTCTCTCATGGAGTTTTTCATCACTCACGGTGCTTCGACATCTCAATACAAGACACCTATGTGCATCAACTCTTCTGAAGCCTTAGCGGTTCTTGAAAAAAATGTTCTTGCGAGCTTTTTCAGTGACAGGTCCTCTCCTCTCTAATCTGATATGGTCTATTTAGAATTTTAGATCATATTTCAAGAATAATAAAAGGATGAAGATATTCAGTGAGATGGGTTTATATGTAGTGGAATAATTTGTGGCTTTGTATTTAAGTTCGTGATTTGTGTAATATATTTATCAGAAAATTACCTAGAATAACCTTCAAAAGTTGAGATTTTATTATTCCAACTTCCTAAAACTGAAAATAAAATTGTGCCAAGTGGCTATAATTGATAGGCTGAGAACAAACGATGAATACAAAATTATTTGAAAAGAGGTGCAGCCCCCCAACGTGCATAATCTATAAATGGAAAATAGGACTCGTAAAGACTAAAGAGGAAGAAGAATTTAAAGAAATAATTAAACAGGAAGGAAATCAATAAGTGATAATCAAATGAGGAGTCGTTGCTCTTTACGATTTGGCCTAGATGAGAATTCACCAAATTATGGCAAGTCTTCACATGGGGGCATTATCTTCATAACATCTCTAACCCTCTCATTGATCCTGAGTCTCTAAAACCTTCCGTTTGATTATGTGTCCTCATCAAGGTGTTGCTACCCAATGTGGGGCAGGAACAGAAAAGTTAGAACCAGAAGCCTCTTGATGTAAGACAACAACATTAGGATTTGCCTGTGGTGAGTTTCCTGTGGGTCTTCGGTTCGAGGAATTTGCAGAGGCTGCAAGAGATGGTGGATATGATTGTTGTTGCTGATTCTTCATTGGTGATTTGGGCCGCAGCGATTCAATATCAGGAGTAGTCACAACGAGATGCGGTGCGTCTGGAGGCGGATTCCTTCCACCTCCTCCTTGCCACACTTTACCCTCCTTGTCAGCAAAGTTCCTCACATAAGCCTATAACACACACAATACATCCAAAGCCGGTCAAACATTCCTCTTCTTAGTCAGAGAAGTTCCTTGCATTGGGTCTAAATTTCATGTGGAAACTGGTCATGCAAATAAGAATGTTCTGCACAGTGGATATGAGATATTACCTGTGATTCGAAGTTTGAGGAAGAAAGACCTTTTCCAACAGTAAGCCAGCCGGCTCGAATATTGTGATCTTCACCGAAAAGTTCAAGTCTCCGGCGACCAAGAGCAAAATGCTCTATTATCCTATACATATCTTCCGGCTTCTGAGTTGAACCTACAGATTAGCAGCGTAAACAGATTCAATTAAGCACACCTACTTGCAATACAAAAACGGCAGGAAGACAAGTTCATTAAAAGAAAGTCTTTGTTCTAGAGAACATCTGACCATGAAAATTTATCTATTTCTCAATGAACCAGCTTACACGGTAGAGAATCAAGGACAAATCCAGCAAAACAATAACATGAATGGTAACCGAGAACCAAAACCTTTGTTCTAGAGAACCCCAAAAAAACCTCAGAACAGAGCAAAATAACAAAGATGACACGTAAGATCCTCACAATTCTATGGTTTATCATAAAAGCACATTTTACTAACCATAAGGAGGCTCTTCAGCAATAATTACGTCAGTGTCGATGTTAGCATGGATTATATGTCCATCAGTGCTACGTCTAACAGTACCCTTTATCCCCATCAAGCAATGCTCCTTTACAAAGAGAAAATTAATAAGCAAACGATGTGCAACACAGGAATCCAACGAAGTGTGCAATGGTAGACCATAATATACCTTAGAGCGCTGAAACACAGTGCGAGAATCATGTCGCAATGTTGGTGCTGCATTACTTTTGTTGGTCTTCACCCAGCAAATGTCCTCGCATCTTCTGAAACCCCACTGTGACACACCCAACAAGAAAAACAAAAAAAGATGATGAAACGAATACCGTGACAACAAATCCAGAAGGAAAAAAGAAATGAATAGTTGTTTGAATCATGTTTGTACCTTTTTCAGGCATTGGCGGCCTTGCTCTAGCCCAACACCATCACCAACCCAGAGAAAGATAAAGGAGGGAGTGTCAGCTATTGCCTACAGATACATGGAAGGTTATAAAGAAGGGAGTGTCAACACCATCATCATACATTCTTTCTTGTTATAAACGGCAGTAACAAAAAATGGGAAATCAACCTTACCCACAAAGTCTACTCACAAGCCAAAATTATACGTTGAGTGGTAAGCAAAGAATAACAGCAGCTAAAAATCTTAACCCAAGAGAATGTCTGCCCTAAAAACCTATGAGTTGTTAAATGGCCTAGAGAATCGTTACCTCAATCTTAAGATTGATGATGTCCTCAAATGTCCAATACTCCATACTATCAGAAACACCAGGAGCTCTATGGACATATTCCTCCCACGGTGGGTCAACAAGAATAACATCAAACTTTGTTCCAAATAACTCGGGAGATAACTCAACCTCATGCAAGTCGCCTTTTAAGTACATCGGTGCAGAAGCAGAATTAGATACAATCTCATCTTTTTTCTGTATGAGCTCCCTAAGCTTGGGATAGTCTTCTACATTGGTAAGCTCCAGCTCTCGGATGAAATTCTGTGGCCGCATTCCAGTATCCACAAAATTCTGGGAATAGTCATTTTGCTCTCCCCTAGATGGAGCTTTCCCAGGAGGTCCACCACCTCGAGGAGGAACCCATCCCCCTGAGTTTTTATCAGATGGCATTCCACGTCCCAATGGTCCAGAGACATTGAATGCAGACCCAGAGAAGTTAGGAGGACCTCCTCTTTCAGAACCTGGTGGATTAAAGAACATATTCGGATTTGGCGGAGTCCCAATTGAAGAAAATCTTGGGCCTGATGGTCCAGGAGGAAGCGGCGAGAGAACAGGAGGAACAGGTAACATATTACCATCAACTCCTCTTGCCCCAGGCCAGACAAGAGTTGGAGCAAACGGAGGCATGAAAACAGGAGCAACAGGAGGGCCCGGAATCGGCGACATGCCAGGAGTAAGAGACTGGATGGGACTTGGTGGTGGCATTCCAAGGTTCGCAAATGGTGACCCCATGATAGGTAATTGAATGGCACCTTGTTGATTTTCTCTGCCACCACCACCAGGTCTTCCTTTTCCGCCCCTTGTGGGTCTGTTTCCTTTCATGCCTTGTGGAGTCTGCGGACCTCGATTATACGTTTGAAGAGAATTAGTTCGACCAGGTGTTGCACCTCTCTGGTTTCTTGCTTTAGCTCCTGCGTAATCAGAGCTGGCTTCACCAGCTTCATCTCTCGAATCCTCCCCATAAGATCCAAAACCAAAAGTTTCACTTCTCTGTCTACCTTCCTGGTTGTAACCCCAATCATCGTCAGGCTTCTTAGGAGGTTGCTGACCCGATTCAGTAGTACGAGCAATGTTCATTCCTGAATCAAGCGGTTTGGTCTGTATCTCAATCACATCATAATTCTCATTCGAAACACCACCACTTGATAACGCTTTAACTGCCTCACCCCTGTTCCCATCTTTCCTGCCACCTGAACGACCATGTGACCTCTCCCCTTCACTCCTTTCACGTCCTTGCCTCGGGAAATCACGTTCCCTGCCACGATCATAAAGCAAGTCCCCATCTTTCTGATCTTTGTCATTACTACTAGAATGTCTTCTCTTCCAATTATCTTTAAAACCTTCTTGATCCCTTTCCCTATCAGACCAGCCATCATCTCTTCCTCTAGATCTTTCATCTTTTCTGCTATACTTCTCCTTTTCATAGTCTGCCTCCGACTGTTCTGATTCTTGATGACGCCTTCCACTCCTGTCTGGCGTCTTAGACCTGTTAGATCGACCCACTTCTCTCACTGTCTCAGAACCATCCTTGCCACTACCTCTCTCATCTTCTTTAATGGAAGCATCTGACCTTCCTCTACTCTTACCTTTCTCCTCTCTGCTGCTTGACTTCAAACTTCTCTCGGACTTTCGACCATCACCACATTCGTTACTAACAGAAGCTTTCTCTCCGGCAATGTCATGCCTAGACTCAGAAACCTTACCGCTTTTGCTGTGATCTCCTCTCTCACCATCGTTAGCACTAGCAGTTTCATCCCATCTCTTCCTTTTACTCGGATCAGAAGAAGACCCATGAGCTCGATCTCGACCGCCACTTTCCCTCTTCTCCGAACTCTTGGAATCGCGACCTGGAAACTCATCTAGAGATTTCTCCTCCTTGATTTTACCGCCACTTCGAGAATTTTCGAGCTCCGATGTTTTTATACTCAATCTTCTCTTCTCACCTTCTTGCTCTCCGTCCTGATACCAAGTGCTAAGCTTCTCCAACGAACTCTCCTCTTGTTTCTTCTTCATTTTCAACGATGCTCTCTTTCTCGGAGAAAAAAACCCCTAAAACCCCGAAATTAGGGTTTGTGAATCACCGCGATCGAATCGACGAGACGGTTCCATTTTGTTCCTCCTTAACTAAAGTTAACATCATAACAGATTTCGTTTCTAATCAAAATCGTTTTGCGATTTACAGAGAAACTTTTGAGTTTAGAGATAAAATTGAGCGAGGGTGATCGGAGTCGGAAAAGATGAGTGACTTTGAAAGAGTCACGGCGGCGTTCGATAACGGAAGAGAAAAGTCAGAGAAACAAGTCAAAATTGGATTGGGCCAAGTCTACTTTAGTTTGTCAAGATGGGTCGATCCAAGCCCCTTCTAGTTTCTCTTATCGCAATACTCTGGTATTGAATTTCTTAAACCGGAATGAGGATTTTGCGGTTTATCCTCTAGTACAAAAGGACCGGTTTATCAATCCCATGTACTCTGGTATTGAATTCTTTAAACCGGAATGAGGATTTTGCGGTTTATCCCCTAGTACAAAAGGACCGGTTTATCAATCCCATGTTCGTATCGCAATACTCTTTAGGAATTATTAGGAGTGGGAAAATTCTCGAAACCGAACCAAAATTCTTGAACTAAACCCAAACCAATTAGAAAATAATCCAAATAGAATAGAAAATTTTATGTCGAATTACCCGAACCAAACCTGAATCGTTTGAAATAAATTGAATTAACCAAATTAACCGAACTAATTAATTATTTTATTTTTATTAAAACTATTTTTTCTTGCCACCGAAACAGAACCAAACCATAATTACAAATTAGTTTTTTTTTTTCCGACAAACAATTATATTAATTTTAAATTGGAGCGACAAAATCATACAGAGTTTTCGAAAAACAAACTATTACATATATGTGTTTTTTTTTCTCAAACAATATTTTATTAAATTGAAGACACAAAGTCATGATACAATGTTTTTGTTCGCCAATGTAGAGGATAAATACAATCGAAAAAAATATACTATTTGGAGGTCCATTACAAGCTAAAATATGTGCTGCCGTGTTGCCATTACGTCAAACATGGGAGAATTTGATATGCACGAGATGTTATATCGTCAAGATGTTATATGTGTTATATGGTGAAAAATACAACAAAATAAGTAATTGTGATAAAGTTTTCTGTAGATAAGTCTCGCTAGCGAAAGAAAAATTTGTTATCTTCATCTCCGTATACAATCTTAATTTTATGTGAATTGTGTGTATAATGCATATTTTGGCTAAACCTTTGAATTGCACACCGCATGATAAAACTAATACCTCCAACATTTTTTTTGAAATTTTGACAATTTGATACCAATATTTTTGTACCAGTCTTTTTTTAAGATACTTTGACTTTGTTGTTCTCCCAATTCAATATATAGAGATCATTATTCATTTTTTTCCATGGTTGATTTCATTTCTCATTTCTCTGTAGATTGTGAAATTAAAAAAGCCAGATAGCCTTCTCTTCCGTGGTTATTGCCCAATTGAAAGTTTCCAAAGCAAACAGTAATCAGTGATAAATGAATTCACCTGAGCGAAGTATGTCCGTAAAAGCCCAAAATTTGCAGCATTGGTATCGATCCAAGAACACAGATTTTCTTTCTTTTTATTCAGAAGAAACCCAATATTGGTGAGAGAGTTCAGATCAGCGGTTTGACCACGTTTCACTAGTTGTAAAGTTAGTGATGCATCGTTAACCATGAGGACAATGTTTTGCGATTGCCGTCGGAACTCATCTATCATGATTGAAGATAATTGGGACAAACACATCAAAATTATCAAAAGAGTGTTGAAATAGGAGAAAATTCAAGGCGGTTTAGGGATTGGTAAATCAAATGAATATTTTTTCTCAACTGCTAGAGATTTCACTCCACAGACTAAAACTGGCAGAAATGACTTGAAGGAATTGGAGATTAAACGCCAGATGAACGGAAGAGTTCTTCTAGAAGAAGAGAAACCAACTCGGAAAGACGTACAAAGAGTCGTCTATCGAAAGAGGATGAGAAATCATGAAATTTTATTTCAGAACTAGAAAAAACATAAATGAAAAAAAGAGTACAGCCGACGTCGGAGTCGAGGCCCGGAGGAATCACGATGAGAAAGAGAAAACGGTTTATTAATCGCTTTTAAGAAGACGCCCAAAGAGAGAAGAAAAAGGAATTTTAAACGGTTTCTCAGAAATAGTTAGTTAGTTGAATGAAAGCAGGATATAGCGGTTGTTCGCCCTAAAATTTCCTCTCAGACACGTTTTCCAAGGTGCCGCTTCTCCAAGCTTCCTTCTCTTCGCCGCCGTTTGTCGTCGCCGCCCCTTCGATTCCACTCTCCTCCTAACCGTCCTTCTATTGGTGTGAGTCGAGCCTTTCTCCGGTCTTAGACCGTGAGAAAAGCTCCGACAAAACTTTCATTTTTCTTGCCGTTCTGTACTGGTTATTTTCTTTTGATGTCTTTCTCCATGTCTCGCCACTCGCTCGTCTCGCCTCTGTTCTTCTTGTCTTGCTGTTTGCTCGCTTTCTTACCATCTCTCGCTGCTACCTTGCCATTCCTCGCCGCCGTTCACCTTCTCTTTCCATCTCCCGCCGCACCTCACCATTCGTCATCTCCTTGCCTCGCATCGCCGCAGCCGGAGCCCCCAGATCTCAGAGCCTCTTGCTCTCCTCTACCAGGTCTGGCTTCTCGTCGGTGGCATGTCTTCTTCTCCTCCCTGCAGATACCGCTGGTCTTTTGGTACCCACAAGTTTTTACTCTGTAATTGGGTTTGGAGATCTTGAAGCTCGTCGTTGTCCGACCACTGCCTTGACCACCTCTCCGTCCGACGTTGTCACCTTCCCACCCCTCCCGATCCTCCAGGTTTGCTCCTGCTCTTCACTCTCCGTTTCTTCTCATGTGGAAAGTTACCGGATGCTAGTTGAGCGGGTGTCTCTGGTTTTGTGGAATCTGGGTTAGTTTGCTATGTCCCGATGGATTTTGTCTCTTTCAGTTCCACTCTTCTGCCCAGTGCCATCATTGTCGACTTGGTGCGATGCTTTACTGCTCTATGCAGTCTCTTTGCTGTGGTATACAGTATCCTTGTTGTATTCAACATTAACGCCTTGATGCGTACCTTTACTGCAGTATGCAGATTCCGTTCCGTTTTCGCTTTGATGGGAGGTGCTTTGATATTCCTCTTTGTGGCAGATTGCTAAGGAAACTGTTATTTGTTGCATCTCTTCAGTGAATCTGGTCCGATTGGACTTTCATAGTCCTGATTTCTCCATTTTGGAGTCTTTTCTCCTCCCAAATATTTCACTTGTTTTAAGTGTTACAGGGAGCATTATCTTGAAAGTTGTTCTGCTTAGAACAGGCACGAAGATGTTAATTGTCTTTCGTTTAGCACTTGATGTTGTTGACGATATAGCATTAACGCCACCGGAGGCTTGGATCCCTCCTCTTTGTGGTTTCATCGATCAAGACGGTCAAGCAAAAGAAGTCTTCTTTTTGCGCTGTCTTTGTTTAGAAGCTACTTGGGTTAAGCTTATGAACTCCCCCTTATCTTTATGTATCTTTTTGAGTTGTTATTGTTGTTTAAATTTTACCAGTATCTCAACCAATCTGTGGTTCGATGATTTGGTTTGTTTGGCTTCTTGTAGCTTTGTGTACCCTCTCCTAGTAGAGGCAAAACTCTAGTTTTAATATGATGATTGTTCGACAAAAAAAAAAACGGTTTCTCAGAAATAAAACCGGGAAATTCAATTACAAATGATATCTATTTTTAAATCCACAACAACAAAACAAAAAAAAACGAATAAACTGATTGAACTGAACCAAATAACAAAATTCCCACCCCTAAAATACTCTATGGGGCAAATAAGTAGTTTTCATGTCTAATATTAGAGAATTTCGAGTTACAAGTAGACAAAGGTTTTCGGTTTTACTTGTTGCCATGGAAGAAAACGCTCAAGAATTCAAGATTTTCATATTGGGGAAATTGATATACAAATCTGAACATGGATGCAAAAATTGCTTATTGTGTAATCATACTTTTATTACTTTCTTGATTCCAAATCAAAAGGTTTTTTAAACTCTTTAAATGAAATTACCATTCCATATTCCTAACTATTTTGTAGTCCAATCAAAATTTTTTACCTCTGGCTTTCCATTTTTCGACAAGTAAACACCATCATCTTTGGCAATCCATGTGTACGATGCACCACATCTACGAACAAATCCTCCTGTATATGCTCGAAAGTCAATATACTCCATTTTACGCCCTTTACGTATGAGACAATCCCATTTTGTCCTAATGAATACGTTATCACGGAACCTAAAAGTGTAAGCATGAGCATTGAATTTCACAAAGTGGACGCCTAGATCGTCATATTTAGATTTGCAATGGACTTCGAGAATGCTACGACTAGAAGCTAATTTGTTTTTAAACACTACAGCATTTTTACCACACTTAGCTTCGCTCGATCTAACAAACAAGATAATAATTAGCAGAAAAATAAGACAACAATTATTCATTTTTATATGTCTAGCTTCTGTGAAAAAAAAAACATATATTGAAGGAATATGAATCTAAGAGCACCGGAGTGTTCTTATTTATATATTTTGCATGTCTTTGCATTTTTCAGTCCATGTATTGAACTATATATCTACTTATTTTCTACGAAAAAAGAAAAAAATAATAATGATGGCTTAAATTCTTCATTTTCTTCTCTCCAGTTCGTGAATTTTGTAAGAAAAACGTCAGACTGGATCTCGCTTTTAGAAATCCCAAAGAACTAAAGGAAGCAAAAAACTTGTTTTTTGTACTTTTCATTTATCTACATTAAATTTTAATTAATATACTCGAATCTCAATTGGAGCATAGTTAGTAAGAACAATTGCGTCAATCCAACAGCTTGAAGTTGTGGAGCTTCAGTTTCACGCCATCGCGTCCGTTTGTCTGACCTCTAACTAAGCAATAACTAATTAACATAATAATTTCGCGAGAAAACGCGGAACCAGGTTCTGGTGGGAAAATGTGGAATTTGTGTTTTTAGTGGGAAACGCAGAAAAATTATATTTTGGATGTATATGTGGAATCTTGTTTTTAACAAGAAAATGTAAAATCAGATTTTGGGTGAGACAATGCGAAGGCAAAAAATGTAGAATCACGTTTTTGCTGGTAAACGAGGAATCATATTTTCATTACAAATAAGTAATAAAAATTAATTATTATGTTAATATATCAATATGTTAAAAAAAAATGAAATTAAGACATACAGTATATGGGTTTAAATAAT